GGGGAGAAAGGGGTGTGGGAGGTGCGGGAAGAGACTGGACAAAAATTGCACACCTTTGGGAGGGCAGTGGGGAGGGGGGTAAGGGCAGAGGGTGGGGTGGGAACCGGGTGGAGGGGAGCTATGGGAGGAAAAAAGAGTAACTAATGTAATAATCTGAATAAAGATTTAATTAAAAATAAAATAATTGTAAATGGAAGATTATAAGAGAGGGTTTCGAGTGTCAGCAAAAGTTACTGGTGTGCCATGTTTGGCACGCGTGCCAGGAGTTGCCCACCCCTGCTCTAGAGGCATGGGACAATGCAAAACCAACTGAGCCATAACAGACCTGGGTCAGAGTAAAAACTCTTAAAATACTATGTTAAGATAAAATCAGACAAAATATGTTAAAGTACTATAAATTACTGTGCAGATAAAGATATCTCCTACAAAGGTATTTCTTCTTGGAATCTGAAACTTAAACTGTGCTCAATTATCACAAATTTTCACATTTTTGTTGGGTAACACCATCTAAGTCAGAGCTGATTATTTCAATACTTTTTTTTAGTCTTCACAAATATCTTCAAGACAACAAAAAATCAAATTTACCAAAATAACAAATGAAGTCCAAGACTTTTCTCAAGAGGTAAGCTAGCATCTGACATTACTTAATAAGTCTGTATTAAAATATAGACTGTGATCTCAATTATAACACATTTTCAATTATGTACTTTACTACATAAATCTTAAAGTCAATGCCAAAATAAGAGAAACTGTAATACATGGTGGGCAAAAGTAGGCTTACAGTTATGCATATGCAAAACAGTTTATTCTTACATTATTATTTATTGTATTATTTACCATATGAACTGTAAATCTACTTTTGCCCACCTCTGTATATACAGCTTATGCTTTGAAGCAGTACTCATTTAACACTCCAAATATAGTCTTGGAATTTATATGGGAGAGGGGAGAAGGTAAATTGAAAATCTCTTACCATTGATCTTTCAGGATATCCAAACAAATAGCTCCTGTGACAGAACTAATATTAGGATGCCATATTTTAGTGATAAACCGGACCTAAAAATATAAAGCATACAAATTTTTAAGTAACAGAAATAAAACCCACATAGTTTAAATAGAATTACAAGAGAAAGAAATCCTCATATTTAAAAAGAGTGCCCATACTTACATCATTTTGCCTAAGAGAAGGGAGTGGTATAGAAGAAAAAGCACTGAAGTAGTAAGTTGTCAGTGACATACATTCCTTTTAAACCTTTTAATAAATGCTCCGCCCTTAAAGAAACCCAACCATTACTAGGTGTTCTCAGATAGTAAACAAACTTTTTTAGTGTGAAGTAAGATGTAGAATAAGTTTGAAAGAAAAAGTGAGCAAAATCAGTAGTAAATGGAAGCACAAGTAGTAAGTGGCTGTAAGATTGCTCCTAATTTTTCTGTAGTAATTTTTTTTAGCAAATTCTTTTTAAAAAAGAATTCAACTGCCTATTATTATGTGCCAGGCATGGAAGAGACACTGAGGCTTAGAGTTTAACATATTGATCCAAAATCAAACAACTAGTTAGCAATAGAACAAGGTACAAACTCATAAACTCTGATTTCAGATTCTAAGTCTCTAATCTTAGAACCAATACATAATAAAATTTTAAAAATCAAAAAAATCAACTCATTGCCCAGCTGGTGTGGCTCAGTGGTGGAGTGTCAGCCTATGAACCAGAAGGTCATGGTTCGATTCCTGATCAGGGCACATGCCCGGGTTGCAGGCTCGATCCCCAGTGTGAGGTGTGCAGGAGGCAGCCAATCAATGATTCCCTCTCATCATTAATGTTTCTATTTCGCTCTTCCTCTCTGAAATCAATGAAAAAATCAACTCATTAATATATGCTCCAAATCTAAGCTAAGGAAAGAGGCTAAACAACTTGCACTTTTTTTCCTTATGACTTGGATTTGTCTATTCTACTTATCTCTAACTTCCTCAGCTACTTACTCACTAACATATATGCCATTTGAAAAAGCACTTTAAGTCACTAATGGCTTCAAAACACCTAAAACTAATGGATACTTTCCATGCCTTGATCCTTTTTTATTCTTAAAATAATCTTAATGATTTCAACGATATCTACTTCTCTCCATTCACAGAACCACCATCTCGTTATAGGACAGTGGTTCTCAACCTTCTGGCCCTTTAAATACAGTTCCTCATGTTGTGACCCAACCATAAAATTATTTTCGTTGCTACTTCATAACTGTAATGTTGCTACTGTTATGAATTGTAATATAAATATCTGATATGCAGGATGGTCTTAGGCGACCCCTGTGAAAGGGTCGTTCGACCGCCAAAGGGGTCGCGACCCACAGGTTGAGAACCGCTGTTATAGATCATTCTTCATCTGGGTTACTGAACAATTTGCTAACTTTACTACCTTCAGTTCTGCTTCCTACAATCCATTCTCCACACTGAAACCAAAGAGAATCCTTTAAAACAAATCTGATTCATACCACTACTCTATTTAAGGCCCTTTAATGGCTTCTCATTCCTTTTGTGCAAGCCCACATTCATAAAGTGGCCCTACCTATCTCTCAAATCTCACTTCTACATCATATTCCTTGCATTTGCTCCAGAAGTCGTATTTCTAAAAAGTTTGATTTTTTCCTTTTTGCCTTGGGGCCTTCACACACCTTTCTTTCTCTCTCCTGTCTACAAGAGCATCCGAGTATTTAATGTGCCTCATACCGAATACACATACAATTAACATAATGACAATCCTGTTATTACAAGGCTAATAAACAGTATCCCTCTCAAATATAGTGCAGGTCAAGTAAGACAGGCTATACAGAGCTTATGTACAACAAACATTTCTTCATAACAGATATAACCTCAATATTCACATCATCTTAAATTTTACCACTGAGTTCAAAATATAATTCTTATGCCAGAATTTCAGTAATTCAGACATTACAGCCTTTTGTGACTTTAAAACAAAAGTTGGTTCAAAATTATATTGGAAAACAGAATTTTAAATTACTACTGAAGATGTCAGAAGGTTTATGGTTTAAGCAAGTGAAATAATACCTAATAGTGCCTAAAACAGAGCCAGGGCTATACAATCACTTTAAAGCTATAATAATGACTTTAGAGGTTAATAATGAAACACTTTTATTGAGAGCATTTCAGTGCACAACTTCATGGATTCCGGTATATTCACAGAGTTGTGCAACCATCACAATAGAATTTTTTTTACCATTTCACACCTCAAAAAGAAACCATGTAACTCTCATCAGCCAGTCCCCATTCCTCCCTACCTCGCAAGTCTGAAGCAACTACCAATCTATTTCTGCCTCTATGAATTTGGTTCTTCCAAAGTTTCATATCAATGATTGCCAGACCTCTTATTTAGCATACTCTTTTCAAAGTTCATCTATCTTGTACCACATATCAGTACTTCACTCCATTTTTGTCTTTTTAATATATTTTTATTGATTTCAGAGAGAGAGGGAGAAGGAGAGGGGGGAGGGGAGGGGGGAGAGAGAGAGAGAGAGAGAGAGACAGACAGACAGACAGACAGACATCAATGATGAGAGAATCATTGATCAACTGCCTCCTGCACACCCCCTCCTGGGAGTCAAGCCCACAACTGGACATATGACCTGGTCAGGAATCAAACCTGGGATCTTTCAGTCCATAGGCCGATGCTCCATCCACTGAGCCAAACCAACTAGGGCTTCATTCATTTTTATAACCAAATAACATTTGACTATATGGACGCACTACATTTTATTTATCCATTCAATTGATGGATATTTAGGCTGCCTGCACTTTTTGACTATCATGAACAGTGATGGTATAAACACTTTTGTACAAATTATTGTGTGCATATGTTTTCATTTCTACTGACTAGAAACCTAGAAGTAGAGTTGTTAGGTCAAATGGTTAAAACTCTACTTTTACCATCTTTTTTTTTTTTAATATATTTTATTGATTTTTTTACAGAGAGGAAGGGAGAGAGATAGAGAGTTAGAAGCATCAATCAGCTGCCTCCTGCACATCTCCCACTGGGGATATGCCCGCAACCAAGGTACATGCCCTTGACCGTAATCAAACCTGGGACCCTTCAGTCCGCAGGCCGACGCTCTATCCACTGAGCCAAACCGGTTTCGGCAACTTTTACCATCTTAATCAAAGTATTTCCAAAGCACCTACCAATATTTTACATTCCCACTAGCAATGTATGAGAATTTCAATTTATAGAAAAAATTTAAGTGTCAATGCTACTGCATTTAAAAATGATGTTACATGTCCTGTCGGGTGGCTAAATGGTTGAGCATTGACCCATGAACCCATCACCAGTTCGATTCCTAGTCAGGGCACATGCCCCAGTTGTGGGCTTGATCCCCTGTAGGGGGCACGCAGGAGGCAGCCGATCAAGGTTTCTCTCTCATCAATGTTTCTATCTCTCTATCCCTCTCCTTTCCCCTCTCTCTAAAGCCAATAAAAAACATATTTTTTAAAAAGTAATGCTACTGCCGAAACCGGTTTGGCTCAGTGGATAGAGTGTCGGCCTGCGGACTGTAGGGTCCCGGGTTCGATTCCGGTCAAGGGCATGTACCTGGGTTGCGGGCACATCCCCAGTAGGAGATGTGCAGGAGGCAACTGATGTTTCTCTCCCATCGATGTTTCTGACTCTCTATATCTCTCCCTTCCTCTCTGTAAAAAATCAATAAAATATATTAAAAAAAAAAAAAAGTAATGCTACAGAATGAATACAACAGATGACTTCAAGGACCTCTTAGGGTGGTGATCAATGGTTAATGCTAGCTAATATTTCTGAGTGTTTACTCTACACAGGCACTGTTATAAATATTACCTTTCATTAAATCTCAAATATCATCAGTATTAAATACAAATTTTATGTACCCTTTAAGAAGAAAATTCTGCCAATTAAATTATGACATACCATCCACTGAAAGATGTGTCCTGATTTCAGAGATGTTAAAAATGTTTCACAGAATTGTTGGAATTTAATTCTTTACATGGATTAACTCCTTTAATCTTTATAATTCTATGAGAGGACTTTATAAATGACGAAACTGAGGTAACAGCAGTTTGCTTCCTAAAAAATCACAAAACCAGTTAAAAAGCAAAAGGAAGATTTAAACTCTGGTTGACTATTCTTGGTATAGCCATATTCGCTGAGGGATTTTTGTCCTTACTCCATCAGGATCGTGGAAATAGAGTGCATGAGCTTTATGAAATTTTTCTATTGAGTTCTAGCCTAAATTCCCTCATTTATTAGGACTATTTTAAAGACTATTTCTGAAAAGGCATGTAAAATTCTTAGTACAAAGCAAGTGATAGCTGCTACTATCATTCAATAGTAAAAATGTAGTGGTTGAAAATAGTCTCTCTTGAGGTCTTTTTTTTTTTACATTTTTAAAAAATTTTTACTTATTTTTTATTTTATTTATTTTTTACAGAAAGGAAGGGAGAGGGATAGAGAGTTAGCAACATTGATGAGAGAGAAACATCGATCAGCTGCCTCCTGCACACTCCCTACTGGGGATGTGCCCGCAACCAAGGTACATGTCCTTGACTGGAATCGAACCTGGTAATCTTGAGTCGACAGGCTGACGCTCTATCCACTGAGCCAAACCGGTTAGGGCTCTCTTGAGGACTTTTATTTCTAACTCATTTCCATTAAAAAGATTTAGACTATGAAGTCATCCTTATCACTAAATCTTCTTTACTCATTCTAATGATAATACTGACAACCTAGATTGAATCCAGTGGATGGTAACAGAGATGAAGATAAAAATTAACCAGGATGAGGATAAAATTAAGTCACAGCCCTGGCTGGTTTGGCTCAGTGGATGGAGCATTGGCCTGCGGACTGAAGGGTCTCAGGTTAGATTCTGGTCAAGGGCACATGCCTGGGTTGAGGGCTCGATCCCCAGTGGGGAGTGTGCAGGGGGCAGCCGATCAATGATTCTTTCTCATCAATGATGCTTCTAACTCTCTCCCCTCTCCCTTCCTCTCTGAAATCAATATATATATAATGAAGTCACAAACATAAGATGAAAACAGTGAACATCTGTAAGTGGTCATATTGAAATTTTGTTTTCTATTTCTTTTTACTTCACTATATAACTTTCCTGTACAACAAACTACCTTTATAATAATAATAATAATAATAATTTTAAAAAAGAAATAAAAAAAATAATTTGTGTGAGTTCTCCAACATCTAGGAACATCAAGTTTTTCCAGACCTAGAATTTAAGCCATTGTCAGATGCACCTCCTATTATTCCTGCCTAGAGCCATTATTAGCTGCCTGAGTAAGCTTGCTTTTCATCATAATTCTAGAAGCTGTCTTCCATTATCTGAAATCTTGTCCACATTAAATTTTCATAGTCAACAACTCAAAACACTCTAATTTTAATAAGCACTAAAATATATGTATTAGTTAAATGGGCCAAGAGAAATATTTTAGAAGTTCATGCACAAAAATAGGCTTACAATACCTTGGGAGGATTAAATGGATATGTTTCTGGTATTTTTATCTCTAGTTGATATCTTCCTCCTAAAAAATGGGAGAACAGAAAGATAAGAACACTGCTCATCTGAAACATGTAAAGCCAAATATTGTGGTAGAACTTTCAAAACATGTAGTATTTTATATTCAATTACAAACTCATTTTAAAGTTGCAACCCAAAAAGGAAGTAATCAAACGCATAATTTTTTAATTTAAAGCATACAGAATACCCATTTTATACAACTATATTAGCTTATCAGTGAATAATAGGGCTAGACATAGATAAATACATTAAACCCACAGACAATCCAATGCCAAAGATTTAATTGGGATAATTAAGCAGTACAGATTCTGTCTCTATTTGTTTCTTCTAGTCCACATTGACAAGAGTTGCTAAATAACTGGGGGGTGGGAGTAGGGAAAAGAAAAATAGAAAGAAAGCAGGGAGGTATAAAGGCATTGATGGTACAGAGGTAAAGGATATATAGATTATGCTATAAATGGAAAGAATCTATTTCTAGCTGGTTCTCTCATAAGCAAAAATGTCCCAAACTTTTAACTTGTGCCCTAAATTAAATGTTAACGTTGCGTGCTAAATTTTTAAAACAAAATTCAACAACAGGTACACCTGAAGACAAAACTATTGTCTCTAAATTGGTGTACAAAATGCAAAGCTTTACAAAGAGGTTGTTCTGACCAGTAATATATAAATAGAAAGCAACATTCTGTTTTGAAGTTATCTTGAGCAATTAGCAGCTAAATACATATTTTATTTATTTATTTACTATATTTTATTGATTTTTTACAGAGAGGAAGGTAGAGGGATAGAGAGCCAGAAACATCGATGAGAGAGAAACATCGATCAGCTGCCTCCTGCACGCTCCCTACTGGGGATGTGCCCACAACCAAGGTACATGGGAATCGAACATGGGACCCTTGAGTCCGCAGGCCGACGCTCTATCCACTGAGCCAAACCGGTTCTGGCTAAATACATATTTTAAAAAGTTTATCTAGCTTCCCATACCTGGGAGAATAACAGCCTCTCAGGAAACTCTAAAGGGTAAAAAGTCTTGCACTGGATGAGAAGCTGGATTTGAATATTAACTCTAAAGAACCTAATTCTAAGATTCATTAAAATAGAACATTCACTATTTGAAACTATAGCAAATAAAACTGTGCTACCAGAATATTTACATATAAAATTGTGCCTGGGATTTGCTTCAAATAATCATGGAATGATCAGATCAAAGACTGGCCAAGAGTTGAAAGACTTTAAAGCTGGCTGATGACTATATGAAGAATTCATTATACCATCTGCCTTCTATAGATATCTGAAATTTTCCATAATAAAAAGTAAGCCCTAGCTGGTTTGGCTCAGTGGATAGAGCGTCGGCCTGTGGACTGAGGGTCCTGGGTTCAATTCCACTCAAGGGCACATGCCCGGGTTGCAGGCTCAATCCCCAGAAGGGGGCATGCAGGAGGCAGCCGATCAATGATTCCCATCACTGATGTTTCTCTCTCTCTCTCTCCCTTCCTCTCTGAAATCAATACAAACGATATTTTTTTTTTAAAAAAGTAAAATAAAAACTATGTGCTAGAAGCAATATTAACTTCAAAATTCCATACATTAAACTCTCAGTATATCATGAATTCTCTCAAATCCTCCTCCTCCACTGTTAGAAATAGGTGAATGTGGATCTCGGAAAAATAAAAGAGCAATTCACTTGGTTCCCGTTTCTTCAAGCCCTTTTTGGTTCCAATTCTTTTCTTGCTAATTCTTTTTAATAGAGTCCCAAAGTAACTGATACATGAGTTGGAACTGTATGCCCGAATCAAAAAGCATATGGCAGCAGTGAAATATACAGGAAAGTAGTCAAAACAAAAAATAAGATAGGTAAGAGATGAGTACTTGAAGAAATTTTGTGAATACAGAGATAACTCTTTATGTTCAGTTATAAATGCTAGCTTCAAATACAGGCATAATAAATCTGGCCTGAAAAATATGTAGGTTCTTTTTCTTTCCTAAGAACCTTACTTTTTTTTCTAATTTATTTCCAGATTAGTGTCTCTATAACCTTTTATATAAAGTTATTCCTTCATGAATGTCCAAAAAAAATCTATTAAGAGTAGTATGAGAGCCCAGATATATAAATAATGCTGAATCCTAGAGTCCCCAATCCTATTTCTACTCCCACATCCTATTAATATGCTCTGTCTTGAATTATTCTTTTTGTCCTGAATTATTATCTGATAAGTTTCAATATCTAATCATAGCATTATTTGGTATACATCAGAGCAACACAAGTAAGGGAGCTTTATAACTACACTGGAGGCCCTGTGCACAAGATTCGTGCACTGATAATAGGGGGCGTGGCCTGCAAGAATTGGCCGCTGTTAGAGTGCGGCTCATCCCTGTTACCAGAGTGGCTGTGGACCCGCCCTTTAAGGGGCTACTCCTGCTGCAGGAGCAGCTCCTCATCCCGGTCAGCTGAATGGCGCTCCCACTGTGGAGCGCACTGACAACCAAGGGGCAGCTCCTGCATTGAGCATTTGCCCCCTGGTGGTCAGTGCATGTTATAGCAACCAGTCATTTCACCATTTGGTCAATTTACATATTAGGCTTTTATTATATAGGATTATTCATATTATAACAGGTTTCCCTAGAAAACATTTATTTTTTGAATAACTTAATATTAAAATTTTATCATTTTTATATTCAACTTAATCCAAAGGGATGGTAAGGGACGAGATTTTTTAAAAATAACAATAATTCTATAAATTCAAAACAACTCTTAGGGAAAAAGGCTCAAGAACTAAATTGCTCCTTTCCCACTGAGCCATTATGAAACAAGAATTAAGTAACACGTATAATACTGTAATTTTTCCATGGGTGTTCTACTTCTCAATCTGATTACTTTTAACACTGCATAAAATAGCTGCCTCATTATTTAACAATGATTATAAACAACTTAACATTCCACAGGTAAATTTTGGCCTTAGTTATTAAATTGAGATTTTTAAAAAAATCTCAAAAACTAGTGAGAGCCTGCAATAAATATTATCAAACTATTTACCCGTGTTTATATATTTTTAAAAAGTAGTATATGTTTATGCCTTTGAATGATGCTTTTCCTAAACAAAGTGAATACTTCTCTGCAACAGTTTTATGATAAAAATATAATTTAATCTATCTTAAATATATACCCCCAAAACATTAAAACTAATCTTATCAAATATTTATGTCTCATATAGTGGCAGCAGTGGAAATAAGCACTTAAAAACCAACCACCAAACTTGTTTCTAATTAGCAAAGAATGTTATATTTATAACTTAATCATCTTACAAATAGTGTCTATGTCCCAATTTTTTGAATTTATCTACCTCTCTTAAGGGTTGCCAAGAAAGTAGAGAACATTCTGCCTATCTAATTTAGTTCAGGAAGTACCTTGTTTATATGTATCAAACTACTGAAAGAACTCTAGAATGATGTTACTGCCCTATTATCTTTAAAATATCTGAACCTAAAAAAAATAATTCAAGAATATTTATAATGTCTGCCTTCAGAAAAAAGCTAGTATAGTCATCTCTCAATATCCACAAGGGATTGGTTCCAGGACATACAAACTTCCAAAATTCGCAGATGTTCAGGTCCCTCATATAAAATGACAGAGTATTTGCATATAACCTATGCATATCCTCCCATGTGCTTTAATCACCCCTAGATTACTTATAATATCTAATACAAGGTAAATGTTATGCAAATAGTTGTTATAGTGTATTTATATTGTTCAGGGAATAATGACAATAAAAAAGTCTGTACATGTTCAGTATAGACACAACCACCATACACCTAACTACATAATATACATCAGCAACAATGTAACATCCTCCTCCCCCAAATATTTTCATCTGAAGTTGGTTGAATCCACAGATGTAGAACCTGGAGATATGCAGGGCCAACTGAATATCATATCATTACATACAACACCTGCTATTAAGACAAGAACTTGATTTTTATAAGATAACAAAGATCTATTATCTAATGATTATCAAAAGGACTAAATGAAAAGCTCCCATGAAAGCATCTGATTGAGGGCTGACATATAGGAGGCACTCAATGAATAATATAAAAATTTAAATATCTAAAAATGACTCATATGAACTAGAAAACAAAATAAAATTTTATTATTTAAGATTTGGTAAGCTATACCAAAGACATTTTAGGGTCTTTAAAATTTTAAATAAAAACAAAAATATTCTAGTACTATATTAGATTCTTCTGAAAAATTTGAGGTAAATGTTCATTCTAGGATTATAGAACCACAACATTCAAAGTAGACACAACCACCACTTCTAATATTCAGTCAAACCTGATTTATTAAAAAACAAACAGGAAAGTGATGAGAAATATAGGCTTTGAAGTCAAAGGCTGAGACTGAAATCCCAGCTGTGCCACTCAGATGACTTTAGACAAGTTACTTAACTTCTCTGAGTTTAAGGTTTCTTCATCTATGAAACAGTGACAACTGTACTTACCTCATAAGATTTGTTGTAAAAACTGAATGAAAAAGAGACATGCAAAACTCTAACAAGTAAAAACTCAGTTAGTGTTAATACTACAAATAGTTATATGATTTCTATTAAATATTTGAAAGCCTATTATATGCAAGAACCTTGGTTATGCTACATAACCCAAATTTATATTCATTACTGAAGATGTGCCTAATGAAGAAATAAAAAGCTATAAAGCTTTTTTCTGTATCTTATCACCCAATTTCATGGTCTAAAGTAGCTAGAGACTTAGTCTGTGAACATAAAATTCAGCAAAGCTGCCTCTTTTCTTTTTTATATATCTTGAAACAATCACTCAAAGCTTTCCTGAATAAAAAAATCAAGTATTTGTAATACATCCTATAAGAAGACATATGAGTGAATGAAATGCTAAGTGACAAACAGGGGAGAGGAATTTAAAAAATATATAAGTATTTTTTCAGTCAGAAATTTAAGGCAAGGCTTATTATAGATACCATATGAAAGGGTAACTGAAAGTCTATAGTCCATATAATTTAGAGGCTTAACTTATACTATTAAATTCTAATCTATATAACCTGTAACTCAACTCTACTGAATCTATTTTGGGTAAATAAAAAAATTAGCTAAAATTCAGTAAGAAAAATAAGTCCAGATAAGTATCTATTTTTATTATTTAAAAATTGCTGTATATCCTAAGCCAAATGAAATTACCTTCCATTTAATTTATAATATATGCTTAAGTTATTCTGATTTAATGTTTCAGACAAGTTCTAATACGCACAATATTTTGATACAGAAAAAAGTACTTGCCTTCATATGGTGTGTCTGGAGGTCCTGCTATTTCTCCTCTTAATTCTGTAAAATTCTCATCTACAAGATCTACTTTAATTTGATTTTTGCTCGTCTTAAAAATAAACAGAAAATAAATGTTAGTTATATCAGCAAGAAAAAACCTATTATAAAGTATTATCTATAAAAATTTTGAAACCCCCTCTTTCATTAGCTTGGTTATCTGCTCTAGTAAAAATAATAGTCTGTGTTTTCCTAGGACTTAACTAGCCAGTTTTAAGAATATTTAAAACAAAAAAACTAAATATTTTTCACTTCAATGTTTTCAATGAAATAAAACTACTTTGAACAATAGTACAATGGCCATTGACTTTATAGGGATGTTCAGAGAAAAACAGCAGACATTTTTATTTGCCAACTTCATGTATGTTAGGTACAAAGTGATAAATCTATTCATTTGTAGGCTACACTGAGATACTATACCCCCAGATTACATGGGCTCTATCCATATAAATAGAAAAATCGGCGTCAATAAAAGCCATTTAAGTGAGAGCCATTCAAGCTCTCACTTGAATTAGGCACAACTCTAAATATCTAAATATCTGAAATATTACACCATCCACCCAGATGGTAAACTGAAATATTATGGTAAAAGCTCTAAGCAGCTAATTAACTTCCCTTCCCTTTCCATAAAAATTCCTGAAGCCTAATTGCTTCCCTAGAATTGTCTAATGCCTTCTTCAGTTTGTTTTTCTGCTTAGTTTACTTCAATGGCAACAGCCTACTTTTGTTTGTTTTTTGAGATATAATAGCAAGTTTAATGAAATCAGATTTGTATGAAAGCAAAACATTCTTCTTGGCTCCTAGCTCTCTGCTTCTCTGGCCAGCCTATCTGCCCTCAAAGCCACAGCCAGTCTCTCTCTTGCTCTCTTCAGTCTCAGAGTCTGTCTCTGGGTATCTCCACAGGTAACTGGTTGCCTGCAGAGAAGCTGTAGGCCACAGAGACCTGCTCCTGGGTGCCTACTTTTAAAACATTTTTATTTTAAATTTGCATACCATCTATCTATGCTGCATATTACACTATTTCTCAAAGTACTTTATTATCAATAGTATCACTTAATCTCTCTATCTGTTATCAGAGCTGATCAATGGTGATTCAGAAAACCCTTCAGTGGGATTCACATTAATGTTCACAAGTATCTGTCTGCAAATGGGTTCTCCATTTATATTTTCTGACCTATACTAGCATCTTTCTAGTCTATATTTTTAATAGTTTATCCTCCCCCTTTCTCAACTTTTAAAAATATAAAGCCTTAATATACAAGTTATGTTTTCATTTTTTTGGTTAGGATTTCATATTTTTACCTAAGTAACACAGTATTACCTACTCTTATGAAAGTATGCCTGGCAAGATTTCAAGAATAAATTTTTGCTTTTGAACCTACCTTCTTAGTCTTGTTTCCTCTCCCTACCCCAATAGAAGATACTATTTTTACTCTTTTTCTATACTAAACTGTTTTAGTACAGAATGTTAAGTACAGAAAAAAACATACAATTTAAAACCTAAATTTTAAGTTTCATGACTCCTAATTAATTTTATCTTTTAATAACAGCATAAGATAAAAAACATTATGCATTTCAAAATTAAACATCCTAATTAGTACTGGTTTGTTTACTATCATTTTTTATACTTGAGATTAAAGTATTTCATATATTTCTGAAGATAATTTTATCCCCAAATTAAAATTAATTATAAATATGCATAATGAGAAATATCTTCCTGTGCTCTAAAAAAATCATTATCACCCTGGTATTTGTAGTAGAGGATTAAGTATACAGTTTTAGCAACTATAAAATATTTTGTCCAGTATGCACAGATATTAATGTTAAAATAAAAATCTAAGGCATTAGACTTTCACAGACCAATTTAAGGAGCCACAAGTATAACTACAGATTTCCATTTCTCTCCTAAGATTTCTAAGTAAAACAAGAGTAATCAGATCTTGCAAATCATCAATGCTTTCAAAGTTTCTACTGCTTTCCACAATATACCTTTACCACAAAGAAGTAAATAACCAAAAATGTGAGGATATTAAAGGATAGGATTAAAGTCTGGAGAAAGGGAGGAGAAGGTAACAAATTAGAAAAGCTGCCTTCTAGATTGCCCCCAATTGTCTTGGTTAGTAAAATGGTAAACCAACGTTATTAATTTTTATGCCCTGTCTTTATTTTTGTCCTCATTACCCTCAAATTATAATTGAGAAAAATGGGTTTTTCACTCTATGAAAAATTTACTAGAATAGCTCAAGAAAATACAACCACCATGGTGAAATCTATTATAAAGAAGCATTCTATATGATCTAGAATAGGGTCTTTATTTGCCGAGAAAATGGAGAATTAAAGACAAAGATTTTTCAGCTTAATTTTTCCATTATACAATTATCCTTTATTACCTCCACAGTTTAATTCAAACATCCAATTATTCCACAATCCAGAACTCCAATTCCATGCCCCCACAAACTAATTCAAATTCCACTTAAGACTGAGCTATAAGGAAGACATGGAAAATGGCAAAAGATGACAAATAGTATTAGAAAAGGCATGACCTTTGGGGTCAGATAGATGTGAGCTGAATCCTACTTATGCCAATTACTTGTGGTATTAATTCAGGTAAGTCACTTAACTTCTCTCAATTTTATTACTGTAAAATGAGAATATATCTCTCAGAATTACATATATGAGAATATCCTGGATAGAAGTAGGGGATGTTGTTCCTCTAACAACATTACAAAAACCCTTGCTTTCAAAGCCTTCTTTTATAAAATGTATTCACAGTTCTGTTTCAGTCTAATATGAAAGTAATTTCTAAAAATAAACAACAGGCTCCCTTTCCTTCATTCACTAAAGATGAGCACCTGTTACGTGCAGGCACAGGAAACAGTGCAGCAGTGAGGCAACCATTAGTTAAGACTTTCTAGATGGTATGACTTCATTAGAGTGAAACAGGCAGGCTGGCAGTGCCCCTACAAATAGTGAACCTTTAGGTAAGCTGCTGTTCCTTGGGTCTTCCCAGCATGATCAGAGAGTCAGGTGTCTTTAAGGGTCCTAAGCAGGGCAGGAACATTGTCAGTTTTGCACCTTACAAAGTTCACTCTGAGGCTGGAAGAGAGGTCTGATGGAGCAGGAGGACCCTACCCCACCGTTTGCCTACTATTCCACTCTGTCTTTCTGAGACAGTCTCTATGGTGAGGCCCAGAGTTCATTCTGGAGGATCCTGCAGCCTCACTCTTCTACTTTACCATTAGCCACTTCCTTCCTCTTTTCCTTTGCACCCCAATTCATTCCCTTTTACTGGCTCTAGCAAAAGTATACTTTTAAAAGATCAAGTTTAAATTGAAGGCAGAAAGCACATTCTAACCTGGCTGAGAGCCCTATCCCCCTGGGGACATGGGAGCCAACATCAGAAGGCAGTCCATCCTCCTTTTCGGAGAACTGCCTATCATTCTGGAAAGATTAACAACCTAGTCCCAGAGTCACCCACCCTATGCCACTCAATCCAGCCCACACTGCCTGTAACCTATAACTATTATACCTTGCCTACTTTCCCATGCTCCTAATTGTTACTTTCCAATGTAATCTTTGTCCTTCTACACAATATAAACAGCTGGTTTATGGGGAGGGGTAGAGCAGATTTTTGTGTATGACCAGCTGCTCTCCCATACTGCCGGCATTATTGGAATAAACACTCATTTATGAAAATTTTTTTTAAAAAAACACAAAAACCAGAATGTTATTCATTTTAATGACTGTAACGACCAGGGAGGCTAAATAAGTCTTTTGGATGAAAACTTGAAGAATTGTTTGGCATCAATGCACTACTTTTTTTGAGAGGACAGCTGCAAAGTTGCTTTTCTATAATTTCTTCTCCCAACTCAGCTAAACATGAAATGGGACCACTGGTAGTCCTGATTTTTATAATTTTCCCTTGTGGCTCCAATGCATTTCTAACATATAAAAGGAAAAGAAATGAACAGAAGCTATACAGCTCCTAGTAAACATTTTTTAAATAAACTATTTTATTAAGGTATACATAATGTATGCAAAATAGCACGGTGACAGAGCAGGAGGTCATTAGTCATTGCAGCTGGTCCTGATGTCTGCCATGGCATTGCTCCACCTGGTTTTGCTGCTTTTCTGGGCCTGGAGCTGAAACACAGCTGAAGCCTACATGTCATCTCCAGGGGTTAATACTTAAGGGAGTGGTCCTGCAAGGGCCTGTTGCTAGGTACAGGGCTCTCTGCCCTGGTGACCCTCTGCATTTGGCCCTTCGTTCCTGCCCTGCTCATGCCTGTGAGAAATGCTCACCTGTCCGAATGCAAATAACAGACTCAGAGACAGAGTATGGTGAAAACAAATCTTTTAATACGTTCTCGAGAGCGGGTGTCTGGTTGTACAGGCACATATGCAGTATCGATCACAGGCTTATCTAGTCCCTCCTCCAGTTCCCATAGGCTAAGTACTATGGGTCACCAGTTTCCTCATACATAGTTTCCTCGTACATCACCTAGGTCTTATTGTCTCCCATTGGGCCATTTAAAAAAATTGGGCTGAGGCCTTTTCTAGTTGTCTCCACCTCCCTGTCTAGTTGAGACAGGAGTCTGGGGGTTTCCACCATGATGCTGGCTCATGTCCACAGTTCTTTGTTCTTACATCCTCTTCCCTCCTCCCTACATTGTTTGCCCTGGGAAAATTCAGTGACCGGTTCCATTAAAAGTTGACTGTGTTGAAGGTGGATCACAAGAGGCTTATTTCCTACAACGCCGAACTGCCTACTACAACTGGAAGTAAAACTTAGAGGATTTAGTTATTACATACTAAAAGTGTATGATAAGGAGAAACAAGGATCACTCTTATAGTTTTGGTTTTCAACTGGGTGGATGATAGTATAATAAACTAAGATAAGGAAATAAGAAATTGAAGGGTCAGAGTTTTGGAAAAAGGGAAAATCAAATTCAATTTTAGATATGATGAAAAGAAGTATGAAATCTATAAAAACTCCAAGGGCCAAGTAGACTGCTGAAAACACAGATCTAAAGCTCAGGCATGGGTCTGTAGCAAAGATATGATGAGCAAAACAAACAAAAAAAATCAAGAGTCTGTTACCACTGGTACAAAAGGAAGAAAAATGTTTCAGGGACAGAGTAGCTAGCTAATGTTGCTGAGACGTTAACAATGATAATAGCAGTTCATACTTACATAGCACTTTATAAGCAGCGCTCAAACTGATTTAAATGTAATAACGCACTTAATCCTTGTACAATCTTACGTGTTTACCAACCAGTAAACAGAGATACAAAGAGGTCTACACAGATATTAGTGAAGCAAGGTTTCAAAAATGACTCACAGGCCCTAGCCTATTTGCTCAGTGGTTAGCCCACGGACTGAAGAGTCTCGGGTTCGATTCTGGTCAAGGCCACATACCTCATTGCAGGCTTGATCCCTGGTCCCAGTCAGGGTGTATGTGGGAGGCAACCAATCGCTGTCTCTCGCTCACACTGATGTTTCTCCCTCCCTTCCACTCCTTCTAAAAATCAATGGGAAAAATATCCTTGGATGAGGATTAATAACAAAAAACAGACTCACAAGTCAACCTATTTCACTGACTCTAAAATACTGTAAATTATAGGATGCCCTGATATATGCCACTAGAAAAAAACACCACCACTCACATTATTACACAATATTTTATCACTTAGAACTGCTACTTTACACTTAAAGAGGCTTTAGATTTTACATACATTACACATAGACTGCATTAAGAAAAAAATAAGCAAAATAGTTATTTTGTTCATACACACAAAATACTTCCACAAGCGTACATAAGAAACTGGCAAGAGCCTAGCCGGTTTGGCTCAGTGGATCGAGAGTCAGCCTGCAAACTGAAAGGTCCCCGGTTCAATACTGGTCAAGGGCACATGCCTGGGATGCAGGTTCAATCCCCAGTAGGGGGCGTGCAGCAGGCAGCCAATCAATGATTCTCTCTCATCATTGATGTTTCTATCCCCCTCCCTTCCTCTCTAAAATCAATAAAAATATATTTAAATATATATATATACATGGCCTGAAGAGAAATGTGCCTGATTTAAGATTTTCTAATGTTCACAATTACATCAGTTATACATACAGCAACAATGACACTCATAGCCCACATTTGTATATTACTTCACCTCATCTTTTATGAGAGCAATCACATTCCCTTTTCCATTTTTTTTGGTTGAAGTTCAGTCCCACTTCTGATGGGGCCATTATAAAG